GCGAGGCGAGGAGTGGAGAAGGAACATTCTCAACATGTGGTGACTTCCAGCCTTCACTGCTCGACTTCTAGCTCCAGGACAGGCCGCAGCTCTGTGTGGAGAAGCCGTTGCCATGAGTTTCAAGAAGGAAGAATGCAGCCTTTAAGTCGTAATTCTCTAGAGGATATCAAATGATCATAAGGAAAACCATGAAGTCAGTTCAACTCCTGACTCTAAATTTCAAAGAAAACGAGGAGTGATAGAAAATTAAAGCTTGCTGGGAAACATAGTGGTGCACATTTTAAAATCACGGTACATAAAAATACTTAGTTTCTTTCCTTTTTTTTACCTCATCTCTCAAGTGAGTCATTGTTTTCTTAATACGCATTATATCATCGCCTGTTTCTAAGAGTAGGAACCAGGCAGTATTGTAAATGCAGGATGGAACCGGCTGAAATACAATTGCTTACACAAACCCCTGAAGTACTCGCCATAGCTGAGGCATCTGGCCCCAGGCAGGCAGCAAAAGCCGCCCAGACCTCAGGTACAAGGCACGCAGCGGCCAAGTGGTCCGTCTTGATCCTAAAAGCCACTTGACATGTCCTTTGCACAAAAATGTATGCCACTTGTCATGACATTCTGGATGGTATACATTGCATCATATGTATACAGTTACATATTTAAATATAATTTATGACCACACCAGTCACGAATAGGGAATGAGAGAGCAGAGAATATAAATACATACTGGGTTCTGCCTAATTCCTTTGAAACCTGTGGCAAAGCGGCATTGCCTCTCTCCTAACCTCTCCCTCTTCTCTCTGACCAGATACCACTTAATGCCATTTAAGTCAATAATATGGGTTATGAAGTCCCCATTCATGACACAAATTGGATGTGTACTTTGAGAGTCAAAGCTAAAGCAAAAAATGAGGAATGCAGCTATTTTCACCCAGTTACAAGAGTACATGACAAATTTGTCAAAATTCTCATATAGCTAGCTTTTTTGTCAAATGAGGTCTCTGATTTGCCAAAGTCCACAAACCAAGACCTTATTAGGATTATTTAACTCTTAAATTTTCTCCAGTAGTGGGAATAAAAAGTCAATACTGATCTCTCTAAAAACAATTTGGCAATATAAATCAAGAGTCTGAGGGACGTTTATATTCTGTAGGAAATGGGGTTATAAGAAATAATCAGGGATGTGGGCATAGATTCAATACAAAGATGCTTATCAAAGTGTATTCACAATAGAGAAAATCCGGGGGGAAATCTAAGTGCCCCACAATAAAAAAAAATAGTTAAAGTATAACTTCTCTATTTGAAGGAATATCACACAGTCATTTTTTTAAAAGCATGTCTGAAAAACTATAATAATGCTAATACACTGAAAATGAGAAGTAGTCATGAGTAAATAATTATAGTAATCTAATGTTTATGCATAGAATACTTGTACATACTGAATAAATAGACAGTGAATTATATTGGTAGTTATTTCTAGGTGGTGCTGATTCTATTTTCCTCTCTGCATTTTTCTGTTTTTTCCACAACATCTGCAATGCTCTTGTATTAGTTTTATAATCATAAAAATAATAAATAATGCAAATGAAAGGTACCATACCAAGTTTGTACAAAGCACTGCACAAGGAATTGTATGAAGCAGTGGAATAAAAGCTGCTCTGCATACGGAGCTTCTAAAAGAGTGGTCCCCATGTCAAATTCACCCAGGAACTCAAAAGCCCTCAACTGCGAGAAAAATACTCTGATGGCCTCTAAGAGTTTTGACCTGTAAACCAGTCAATGTCTTCTCCCATGCTAAGGATGCATCCCCCAAGCTAAGGATGCATCCCCCGTAGATAGGGGCTTGCAGAATCCCTTGGTTAAAATATTCATCTGCCTATCCCGTAAGACATGACCTAGCAAGTCACTTTCAGTCAAATCTGAAAGAGGGGCAGAGGGCCCCAGGTAACATGATGCGCCCGGAACATGCCTGCAGCTTTAACAGGTGCAAACAACTTCACTCGTCTAAATATAAACCCACTCAGGCAGTTTGGAAAGTCTTTCCCTCTTTCTATTCTCATCAGGCACAAGAATGTTCTCTTCTTTAATTCCGACTCTTGGTGTTGGGTATTTTTATTTAGATTTGCTCTGCAATATTTTTTATTCAAAGAGAGGCCACATTATAACTCTACGAAGAAAAAAATTATTTTCTTCTAAAATCTTGGATGAAGATAGGACCTCGATTTTGACTGTCTTTGAAATGTGTTCAGTTGAAAAGGAGACAAGGCAATGACGATATTTTAAAAAATCTTCTGGGTGAGCACAAAGCTAATGTTAACACATGCATAAAGAAACACTGTTTTAATCAGTAGAGTGGAAATTCTTTGGGGGAACCTAAAAACAGTGGCATCTTTGCTGATTCCCGCCACGCTCACTCCCATTACCCCTAACGTCTAACTCCCCCTTCAGGATGCTGCTCAGTTGTCACTTCTTCAGTAGCATTCTCTGACCTTTCCTACTCCCCACATCCACTTGCACGGCCACATGTGCACAGCCTTCCTGTTAGCTCCCAAAACACAGATTTACCTTCCATACATTTATCCCACATCATTATTTAATCTAAGAGCTTCTTGAGAATAAGCTGTATCTCATTTTTCCATATTTAGCACCCAGGTTTACAGTAGTTACTCACTAATGTGTTGTTGAATGAACGAACAAATGCCCATGAGTGGATTGAAGGAGTCACTGATGAGCCCCCATTTAAGGAAGAAAAAAAAAGACAGTGCTACCACTGATAGACACAAAAAAGAAAAATGTATGCGAAAATGATAATTAGCTCCGATTAGCTACTGTTAGTCTTTTTCGTTTATTTGAGGAGGGGAGGGTTGGCTTATTGAATGAAATTAAAACTAAAAGGCCAGATATTATCAAAGGAACTTGGTATGCGTTGGTTGAAATTGTACATTTTGACTTTCTGCTACAAAATGAGAGGGTGAGGCAAGATCTCGATGCCCAAGGGCCAAGTCCAGCCTCAGGTTCTGGGGCTCTGGGCTGCTATGAATTCTGCTGGAATAGTCCTCTAAAGCTTGCAGCCCAGCTCTATTCTGATCATAAATAAAACTGTGCTCTTTTCAAACTCGTAGATGCCACACTCCTACCTACCAAGACTGTGGTGTGCCACAGCTAAGTTTGGCTCCACTCTCTCGGTCTGAAATAGTCATCAAAACCACCGGGGAAATTATTACCCATGGTTTCCTAGATCTATGTAAGGAAGGTGCTTCCAAACCCTAATGCTGTAAAGTTGTATTTACTTGTCCTAACTTTTCCCAGTTTGGTTCAGATCACCCTTTGCCTGCATACATTTTGTAATACCTGTTGGCTGTTTATCTTTGCCCACTCAGTTAATGCGCTCACTACACTGGAGAAACACAGCCAACACTTGGCTTAATAAATCTTCATCTCACTCATCAGCTAATAAAGGGGGTTTAGAGTTGGGAAAGGGATTATTGCACAGAAACTTTATTTGCCAACCACCTACCAATAGCTGATTCTGCAGGTGGTCTTTTATCAGATTTGCCCATTGAAAGAGAAGGAAGAGGACTAATGATCACCCTTGAGACAGGGAGACTATGTCTGGGGAAGCTCTCTAGGCTGAAGGTCTGAGTTGGATTACTGTAACCAAACAGTGTCTTAGTCTTAGATCCCTAGGAAAATTAGGATATGCTTTTCTATCCCTTAAAGCAGAATTTCCCAAATACCACATTCAACATAATGAATTTTCATAAAGCTAAATATATTCAATGTAAAAGACTGGGCTTTACTCTGAGATTATGTCCTTTCATTTTGCTGTTATTGCTGTTAAAGACAACTTCCACTGCCCCCCTAAATAAAAGAATGGTAACAGAAGATGGTAAGGTTTCTTTTTTTTTTTAATTCGATGTCTTTACTTTGCACTTCAAAAAGCTGGCAACCGCAATATCAACTTTCAAAATTCATTAAAATTAGAAAGCTGGGATCCTCATCCCTAAAGTGACCTGCTCAAATCTATCATAAAGATTATATATTGATATATGACTATATAAATGTATATTTCTTGATCTCATAGGAGAGGAAGGGCTTTTGGCCTCTTCTAATCTGACCATTCTCTACAGATCTCAAGATATACCATACAGATCATGTCTAAGTCATTCTTGTAATAGATTCAAGTCAGGTAATTTCCCCTAAAATATCCTACTTTGCAGTGTTTAATGTGCACCCACGTTTTTGTGTGCATTATACATGGGATTATTATACCCATGATATATAATCATAATACTCATGTATAATGCACATCCTTATTTTTCCCTAAAAAGTCTGGGCAACAAAAGTGCACACTGTACACGGCAATATGTGGTACCTATCTGAGAAACCCTCCTCTATATACATTTGGCACTCTGTGAAGAGGGTTTGGTCCTTTTCCCCAATAACAACCTTATAAAAAGAATTTGTACTATATCCCTATCCCAGTAATACCCAGACCATGACAAGCACAAAACAAACGTTCAATAACTGTCCCAGAGAAATCCACCTAAATAGGAGGGAAACACAAGTATTTTCTCAGGGCATCTACGGGCTCCACAGGTGGTAGAAGTGTTGCTCATCTTTGAGGCCAGAAGCTAAACTGTGTAGACGAAGGCGGGGCCAGGAGGACTGCTTTGGAAACCTTTGCCTAGCAAAGGGAACTTTGCAGACAGCTTATGCCCAAGCCTCTTGCTGTAATGGGACGCTCCTCCGTAGGAAAAGTGCCTCTGACCCCTGGCGCCTGTCCCCAGGCTTCTGATGAAACAGTGACCCACCGCCCTTCCCAGCGCCAGAACTGCAGCCCTATCCCTCCTGCCGCTCAGCAGATCACGTGGTGGAGCGGTGCTCTCCAGGAGCGCGGCTTCACGGCAATTGGTCCCCGCTCGCGTGCTGGGCACGCCCATTGGTTGCGGGGGGCGTTCACGTGAAAGGGGGTCTGGGATGGCATCCCGAGAAGGGAGAGGTGGCCGGAAAGTTAAAGGGAGCAACGCGGCGGCGGGGATCCCGAGTCCCAGGTGGCGGGGAGCCGGGAGGAGGCGAGCGGGGTGCTTGTGTGCGGACGCATGCGGCTGCCGGCGGAGGGCGCGGACCTGAGTCTCGGCCCCCGCTGCTGCTGCTGTCGCACCGGCTCCTCCAGCCACTCCGGCACAGATGCAGCCGCGGGCTGGCGCCTCTGCACCTCTGGGCTTATGAGCTGTGCCAGGTAAAGCCCTCCCCACGCCGTGGAGCCCGAGAGCAGGGCCGCAGGCACGGCGGTAAGAGGCGCGCAGGGGAAACCCTCTTTGGTTCCTGCCATCTACACTTTCTCCGTCCAACTTGCAGTTAAACTCCTGGGTGGAACACTCTAGACAGGCTTCAGGAAGCTGTTGCCTCCACGTGGAGCGGGCAATCCAGGGACGAGAGGTAGGATCGAACCTGGCCGGACCCACGTGTTCAACCGAGGTGCGGTCCCCTTCTGTTGTCCCTGGAGTGTGTCGCCGGAGTTGGGCGGTGGGGTCTGGAGCACAAGAAAAAGTCGGTTCGTCTCTCTCCGGACCTCGGTTCCCGGTAAAACTCAAGGAAACGCACTTGGTAGTCTCTCTGGCCGCCGAGGGAGATGGGACAAAGAGCGCCGCGGTGGCCGAGGTATTGCGGAGCCGGGTCACCTCTGGCCTCAGGTTCCCAGACTGCGGCTGTTTCGGGCCGTCTGGGGAGAGGTGGCCGCGTGGGGACGCTCGCGCGGCGCGGCTCAGTCCAGGATTACCCCCACCACCCCGCCCTGGTATAATAACTTGGGCTCCGCCTCCTCCGGGAACCGAGTGTAGTCCGGCGTTGGCGGCCTCCCCCTGCCACCTCCCTCCGCGAGCTCTCCGATGCAGCAGCCAGCGAGCTGGGGAGGGGGCTGCCCCTCGGCCCCAAAGGTGGGTGGCCGACCGGGAGAAGGAGGATAGTAGAAGGGTTTGGGGTGGGTCAGAGAGGGGTCCGGGTAGAGTTACCGGTAGGATCTTCCAGACTGGAGGGTCCGGGTACCGGTAGGATCTTCCAGACTGGACGTTCCACACTTTGAACACAGAGAAAGGGGTGTGGGAGGGACTCGCTGCAAAAGAGGGGTAGAGGGTGCAGAACGACATACTGGAAGATTTGGGGGCCGTCATGCCATCGTTTCCTAGAGAAGAGGAGAAAAATTGAGGAGAGACTTGACTTGGGAACGTGGAGAGTTTCTAGAAGGTGTTGGAGTCTGTGGTTTCTGTGGCCAGGCCTCCCTGAGAGACCTAGGGTCCAGGAGAAGAGGGCACCAGGGCTTTGAGCCGGGGTACAGAGGAGAGAGGAAACGGTTCATTTGGCAGGGGTGTCCAGGAGCCAGACCTGGAGGAAGCCAGCTGGAGGCCTCACCACAAAAGTGAAGTTGAGGTATTTAGGGAAAGTTAGTGGGAAGAGAACCGTCAGGCACTATTGGCAGCCACGAATGTCAGCCAGAAGGGACCTCAGAGGAGAAAGCTGGAGCCCAGAGACTTTGAGTGATTTGGAGCAAGTGGCGCAGCTGGGCGATGGCATGTCTAGGCCCGTGCTCTGCGTTTCATGCGTGACATTTTTAGACGGCGGGGACTGTGCCATTTTAACTTCTCTGTTCCCTGTAATATGCAGCTTCATCCACAGATATTTGTCTCAAAGATGCTTTGGATGGTATGACAAGATAGAGGCTTACAAGTGGCTTTTAAGGCTGTGAATTGCCTCATGGTCAGAGTACAAAGAGAAGGATGTCGACTTTATGCATACTGTGTTGAACTTTTTGGGAGGGGATAAAGGAGTATTGAAGGGGTAGATGGTCATGTCTCTAAAAAAAAATTATAACCGGTTGTAACTGCTTACCTAATGTAGTTTCTGCGTCCTGGGGTGGGGTTGGGGGGGAGCAATGGTCCATGTTATTTGTCTGTCTTTGTGTATCAAAGTGAAAGAGAATGGAGGGGGAAATATCGAAATGTGTCTCAAGACCAAAAAAAAAAAAAAAACAAACAAACAACTTCCTATAAAAGGTACGGCCAGAAAGTCAGTAGGTTAGCTGACACTGTGAAGGTCATGGGGTTATTTTCTCTACAAGCCTATAGTTCTCATTAGAAAAATCACCATGACATCTAGCCATGGCCAGCTGTCTTGAGGTGGTGTGTTACTTGTCACTAGTGGGACAGGGAAAACCTTTATGCAGAGCTATCCACGTCCTCTAACTCTCATGGGGTGTTGAGGTTTGCCCTCTTTTGACCAGGAACACTGAAATCCACCCTTGGGCATGGCCCAGGCCCTCATGGGGTCAAACAGAGCTCCAGTATCTACTTGGAAGCAAAGTTTTTGAGCATCCATACTGGTCTGAGTAATGGCCACTCACGCTCTCAGGGTCCCGTCCTGCAACGAACTGGCATCCAGGTCCCATGTCAAGCTCTGCTGGGTCAAACGCGTGTCTTGTTCGGTTTTTACCTCTGGCCAGACTCGGTGACGCACATTCCCCGGCCAGGGTTAGAAAGGGCTGGAGCAGTGGGAGTGTCCTCAGAAGAGGCCTGGGGTCCAGCTGGGTGCAGGCTGCGCTGGGACTGATCTTTCCGTGTCATGTGAGCCTAAAAATGCCTGGCCAGGGGCCTTCCTTCAGGGGCTCAGGAAACTGTTACCTTGTTGCTAGGACCACTTCTGGGTGATAGTCACCCCTGTCACAGTCCATTGGCGAATTCCCAAGCAGAGGGTACTTAGCCAAATCAGTACTTGGGTGACCGATTCTTGGAGAATGTTTCAGTTTCTGAAAACTGGAATCTACGTGTAAAGATAGGCGAAGTCAGATCTAATCTTAGACAGAGGCTGCAGGGGTGAATGTCCACACCTCCAGTTACGGTGACACTGAGAAAGTGGAGGGTTCTAGGCAGGGGTTGCTTGTGCAATGCTCCTGGGGCAGTAACCCTTGGGCCCACAGGTGGTTAACCTTACTCTTGCCTTTCGTGGAAAAATGTTGCAAAACTGATTAGGCTCTGGAATGGACCAGTGGAATTGTTTAATAAGCTCTGGCTGCGACTGGAACCTCACCTCCTCACCCCTAGTTCCACTTGTTCTTACAGCTTAGTGCTTTTAGGGACCTCGGGCAAATTTACACTCCTGAGTGCAAACAGTGAAACTTAACCAAATTTTCATTCCTTAACTGATTCCCTTATTTTAGAACTGTTTCCACAATATTTTGAGAGTTTCCTAGCCTTTTGCTAATGAGCTGTTTAGATGTCGTGCAGGAAAGCACGTATGAGGTTGGTTGGCTGGGCAGAGGGAACTGGCAGATGACCTTGTGCTGACTCAGGCAAGGAGGAAGCTGCTGTGGCCGAGAAGGAACCCCTCCTCCCTCCGCTCCTACTCGAGGTTGTGGAGGGTTGACAGGGTGGGAGGGGCTGTGATACAAAGCTTTGCCCCCTGCTTGGTTTTTCGTTCCTATTTAATAAAACGCAAACCAACAAAAACTACCTGTGTTGAAGTTAGAGCTGAAGAAGTATTTCCAGTGCATTCTAACAAAGTTTTGCAATGGACGAAAGAAAACCTAAATTCAAGTACTTTGTAAGTTTAGGGGGTTTTTTTTCATTGAACCTGTTGGTCAGCACTCTTAAAACCTATCTTGCCCTATCTGGAACTCTCCTATCCAGAACAATTGCAGGGGTATAAGAACAGATAATAGAAAGCAAATTGCCCCTATAATTTCCACTCGTTTGACTTTGTTAGAGAGGAAACAGTAAGACAAATACCCTTTAAAACGAATGTTTAGATAACTATGGCTATAAATTATTGTTTTATTTGTCTCTGAATGTATATGTTTCCCCTTGCTGAGTAATTCCTTCATCCTAGGCAAGTGCTATAATTCTTTTGGAAAAATGGGGTCAAACCATTATGTCCTTTCTCATTTTTTTCCACTGTCTTGGGTTGATCAAAATCGGAAGGTAAAAATGAGATATTATTTATTGGATTGAACCAGTGCTCCCAGCTCAGAGCAACATTTTGGGCAAAGGCTGCTGTCACTCGTCCTTAACTACCACCATCACCCAGCCATCCCCACCGTGGGGTGCGGATCCAGGGCAGGCCTGAGAGCGAGCACCCCAACACGCTTCACCTCCCTACCCCCTTGCAGGAGTGACGGAGCTATGCTCGGGAACGAATCTGGATCTGTGTTCTGTGGTTCTCAGACTACAGGTTTTAATGCTGGTTTTGTCACTGGCTTCTCAGTGAGCCCATAATAATTGTCAAATCAGAATATAAATTTGCCATAATAATTAGAAAGATAAAAATTTCCCAGCTTTAGTGAGAGAACTGTGTTGAATGTGTTTTTGGCAAATCCTGAAATATTTGAGGGTTGTTTTTTTTTTAATTCACTTTTTTCTGATTATAGAAGGGATATTATTAGAAAATGTAAGCAGGAAAACAGAAATTTCCTGAAATCACTTCAGTTGGGTATTCTGACTGTTTTGAGTATATCTCTAGTCTTTTTTTTATGAATATGCATAATATACATAATATTTTTATCCACAAGTATGATCTCTATGTACAGTTTTGTCCTCTCCTTTTTTTTACAGTAACAGTTTTTTTTATGCCATTCAAATCTTTCTCCAAGTAATGGTTTGATGATAATATAAAATTTTATTACCTGAATATGGTACACTTGATTTAACCAGATACCTGTTATTGGTCATTTAGATTATTTTCTCACCCTTCCCCTTATAATGTTGTCATAGAACATTTTAGTATATTAACATCCATGCATTTTTAATTACTTCCTTAAGATAAATACCTGCATGTGATATTAGAGCCAAAAATGATAAGAATGTTTAGAAAAGTTGCACTAATTTGGACTAATACACATATTTGTATTATCTTTTAAAATTTTTACCTAACTCAATAGGTAAAAACGGGTATTATTTCCTAATCTAAATTTCTTACATTACTTACAAGGTTGGACATTTTGTGTATTTGTTCATGAATTTTCTATTAATGCTCTTTCTCATTTTTCTAGGTAAAATACTTTGTTATTGTTTTGTAAGACTCTTTATATATTAAGGTATTAACCCTTTACTGTCATGCTTTTTGTAAAATGTTTTTCAAGCTTGTCTTTAATCTTTTGGGTTTAATTGGTTTTTCTACTTAAGAAAACTGCAGTATTTATAAGTCAGATTTAACGTAATCTTTAGAATGATTGTTTGCTGTTTGTTCTTATAGAGGCTATTTTCACTGTAGAAAAAGACAGATATTCGCCTATATGAAAAGTTTAAAAATACTAAAATGCTGGTTTTTTTTTTTAAAAGAAGGTATATTGGATTATAAAAATGTATTGTACATTTAATGAAAGTTGGTTTGTGTCTGTCTTCACTATTGAAGTCCAAGGTCTAGTGAAATGTCTGGCATATAGTAAACACTAATCAATATTTATGGGATGAATCCATTTTTTTATTTGATTAAAACGGTAGCTACCAAAATATGTTCTCAGAATGAGTCCTGCTTAATGCTCCACAAAAAAAGGGTTCCCTGCTCGTATAAGTTTGAGCAGTCCTGCAAATAATATGCTCTCTTGCTAATCCTCATAGCATATCATTACAAAAACCTATGAACTTAGTGTTAACACCAGTGGTTCCGTACTTTTTTGTTCATTTGTTTTAACCTTGGACCTCTTCCCTCCCACCCCCACTTTACACTTTAAATCTCCCTTGAAACCAAAGTCATGCTGGACTGCACTTGAGTTAATACTGAGCTGTAGCCCTGTGGACAGAGAGGAAGGAAAGCAACATCACCCTGATCTCATTGCAGCCTCTTTCTTTCTTTTTCCCTTTTGCCAGGGTTCTAGCCTATTCGCCTGACCCAATGATGGCTGTGGACATAGAGTGCAGATACAGCTGCATGGCCCCTTCCCTGCGCAGAGATAGGTTCGCCTTCAAGATCTCACCAAAGCCAAGCAAACCTCTGAGGCCTTGTATTCAGCTGAGCAGCAAGAATGAAGCCAGCGGAGTGATGGCCCCCACTATCCAAGAGAAAAAGGTGAAAAAGCGAGTGTCTTTCGCGGACAACCAGGGGCTGGCCCTGACAATGGTCAAAGTGTTCTCAGAATTTGATGACCCGTTAGATATTCCATTTAACATCACCGAGCTCCTAGACAACATTGTGAGTCTGACGACAGCAGAGAGCGAGAGCTTTGTTTTGGATTTTCCTCAGCCTTCTGCAGATTACTTAGACTTCAGAAACCGGCTTCAGACCGACCACGTTTGCCTTGAGAACTGCGTGCTGAAGGACAAAGCAATCGCAGGCACAGTGAAGGTGCGCAACCTCGCGTTTGAGAAGACGGTGAAAATAAGGATGACATTTGACACTTGGAAAAGCTTCACAGACTTTCCCTGTTGGTATGTGAAGGACACTTACTCTAGTTCAGACAGGGACACGTTCTCCTTTGACATTCGCTTACCTGAGAAAATCCAGTCTTATGAAAGAATGGAGTTCGCTGTGTGTTATGAGTGCAACGGCCAGACGTACTGGGACAGCAACAAAGGCAAAAACTATCGGATCACGCGGGCGGAATTAAAATCCACTCAGGGGACAGCCGAGTCGCACAATGGACCAGATTTTGGAATAGCCTTTGACCAGTTCGGAAGCCCTCGGTGTTCCTATGGTCTGTTTCCGGAGTGGCCCAGTTATCTAGGGTACGAAAAACTAGGGCCCTACTACTAGTGACTGCGTGTGCTGGAGCCTGGCCCAGTGCGTGTGTACCGGCCCAGCTGTAGTCACAGTGGGATGGAGATGGGAGCCGAGAACAGCTGAACTGCCATTAGGCACAGTTTTTGAAAACAAAGGATCCTATACAGTTTTTTCTTCAACCAGCAAGACCAGCCCAGCCTCAATCACAGAACTGGCTTCCCGCGCAGAGTGACTGTCGTGTGCTGGTCTGTCCGGCACCCATGGCAGCCACAGGGTCTGGGCAGGAGGGTGCCAGAAAGGGTCTGGACAGGAACCAGGCCTGCAGGCAGTGCTGGCGAGGCTGGAGGACGGTGGCTTAGTGACGACGCAAGTCGGAGGGTGCCCTGGCGGTGTGGAGGAGCCGCTTGGGAAAGTCAGTCACTTGCATGTCACTGTCCCCGGCTACCTTGTGGACCGCGGCTGTTTGCCTTTGGGCATTCTCCACCCAGCCAGGCCCTTCCTGGCTGTTGCTGCTGCCCCATGTCTACGCGTTCTACATACTTTGTGTGCATTTCTTTTGTGTTGTTCTGCTGCTGTTCATCAAGATGACAGTTCATCTGATGTTCAGAAGATAAGAAAGGCAAATTGGCCTGTGAGACAGGCACTTCCCCTTTCTGACCCAAAGTACCTGGCTCCTGTGCAGTGTTACACAGCAGGACAGCCACGAGTGGGACACTTTCAGCTTCTCCTCTTGGCTTTTGGGGGAACTTTCTAAGTGCTCAGTCTTATCCTGAGTCACCAGACGGCTCAATTACAGGGGTGCGTTAACTTGCTCAGCTGGTTTGCAGGCGTCGTCGTTCACAGGAGGATTTTCCGTCTCCTTTCCTGGAGACTCATCTTTTATGCGGTGTTCAGGACGCTTGGATTGGCAGATCCAATGTATCCCCCAAAGCCTTCTGAAAATGTTTGCTTTTATTTTGACTGTGATTTACCATATCCAGGACACTTTATAAGCACCCAGGGGCTTTGATTTGGGTGTTCGTATTTATGGTATGTGAGTATGGTTATGTGAAAGGGGTAGGTTTTCATATGTATGGCGACTCTGAAGTAATCAGACATCAATTGTTCTTCACCATGTTGGACTAAAGAATTAAAAACCTGTTGGTTCTTACTGTTGCGAGACTCCTGGGACTTTGATTGTTAGAGGGCTCCCCAGATCCTGTGATTTTTCTCGGGCAGGACTGGTTTGTACTTGGGGTAGTTTACAATATTTTTAGATGTGTATTTGTAGAAGGTTGGGGGTTTTTCTGTTTTGTTTTTGGAGATTAAACAACTATCTCATTTTCTTTTTGTCTGATTGACTGAAGTGAGGTTTTCCTACGGGAAGCAGGAGACAGATACACAGCTCCTGGACTCCACAAGCCAAGAGTCTCCTTCCGTTTGCATTTTCCTGTCGCTTAGAAAAGACCTCCTGGCTTCTGTGTAGATAAGTGTCGGACAGGTATGAAGTGTCTTGCTTGGCCCCTGGAGTTTGGTGGTGATTTTTTTTTTGTTTGTTTCTTTTTTGAACTTTAAAATGTTCTGACTTTTTAAATGCTCTTTAAGTGGTGTTCAATGTAATTCATCTTCCTAAAAATGACTGTTATTAGTCTGCTTTATTTTTTATGGCTCTGCCAGGTGAGTTGCAATTTATGGGAAAAATTGCATTCATCTTGTGCTCAAGTTGGGCAGAACTGTGATTTATCCATTTATCTAAGCATATCTTACATCAAATACACAGAGAGTACTTTGTGTTACAAATCCAGTGATCAGAACCATTAAGAGTGAAAATCTAAACTGAAGGGAAGCGAAACTGATTTTCTATAGGTCATGAACTGATTTTGTTTTAAGAAGTCCCCTCCCTCGCCCCCTCTCTTTCAGGAAAGGTACAGCTGCACTTGCACGTTACCCAACTAAAGGTAATGAGATCGTTCTGTGTTCCTGAGAAAAATGCCTCAAGTGACTTCTGTATGGCTTTCAATAATAGTGATCCTAAGACATTCCTATGTCAAAATTTGAAATAGGGTAATTCAGTGATAAGTATCTCTTTTAAAACTGCCTTAAACCACTCCCCCCTTCCCCTTCTCAACTCCCAGCCCTCCCCCACTTCTTTTTGCTGGCGGCTCTGGTTGCAAGCCCCCAGCCTGTGCACCTGGGACTCTCACCCACCAGGCAAGTCCTCACCCGCTTGCAAAGACCCTGCTCTGACTGAAGAGTCTGGTTGCCCGGCGTCCCTGTCAGCTGCGCCGTTCAGCGAGCTAGGAGCATCTGAAGAATCCCACCGCCTCTTTAGCAGGCAGGCTCACTCCTTCTGTCCGGTACTGTCCCAGATTATCAGCAGATGGACTCAAGAACTGCCCGAATGGAACCTCTCCTTGTTTCATAGCTCACCATCAGCTCAAGGGTCTCCACACTTCACAGGGGGGCAGGTTTCCAGGTTGAAGACTTCCCCGCACCTGACCTGTAGGTTTGGCCCTCAGTCAACTCTTGGCTCTGAGGACAAATGGCCCCCAGTCCTGGGGTCCTTCCCGAGTTACCCGAGAAGGCTCAGCCTCCTGCTACTGGGGCGGTGGTCCAGGAATGGGGAAGCAGCTCCATTTTTGTTTCTTATTTATTCCCCCAAATGCCCTGGGGAGCGTTTGCAAATTAGGTGCAATAAATAAGCTGGACTATATAAAGATATAATAAATAAGCTTTCAGTGTTTCTTGGAAGAGATGAAGCATTTGAGTGGGTTTCTTTCTCTTTAATATACTTGTTATAGGGGAGCTGGTAAGAAATAACGGAGTTACGTAGTCTCCACAAATTAAAACAATTTCAGAATCAAGGTAGAATTTATTTCTTCTCTAAGATTTAATTTTAATGGTGGCAAAACAAGACTCTTTCAATGTTTTCTAAAGCTGTAAATTTTGAACTGCTAAACGAATTTGTGGTTTTGATCTTTGCATATAATTTGCTTTTTAAAAACAAGCATCACTTGTAGTCACTTGGATGTTAAATGGGTTATATATGTTTTTAAGCCCAAAAAGGGATTGTTTGCTCACTTTTTAGAAGTGCCTGTTTCCTGGCTCTTCATGGACAGTGAATGAAAGCCTTGGTTGTTTTTTCATTTGTTTCCTCTTTTAAAACTCCCCGGCTGGATGCGGTTTGCTGGAGCAGGCCTCACGGCTTTTTGCTCTGGGAGGTCCCGATCTACTTACCTCTTCGGATGTGATTGCTGAAATGGGGGAGAAGTGAAACGTACAAAGGGATCTTACAGGGTCGCCCGAAGACACTTTGGCAGCTATCTTCACTTCTTGAAGTGGGACACATCTGGGCGGGGCAGAATGGCTCTGGTTCTGGGTGGTCTTTCCTGGTTGGGGTCCGAAAGCTCAGCAGCCCACGTTGTAAAGCTGTGAATGTTTTTACAGTTCTGTTATCAGTTCCTAGAGATTCCTGGGCCCGGGAGGACTCCCTGAGTGCAGCTGTGACAACGTTGTTTCACTTTGACTTCGATGTGAATGTAGAACTGAAAGCTCAGCTTCAGTGCACACCTGGAAGTGCCTTGTCAAGAAATTTCCATGTTTTAAAAAATAAATATTTTTGTACACAAAGTTAAAGGGGAAATGCACTTTAAAATCACAGAATGGATGTATTTTGTGTGGTGTAAGAGTGGTTTGTAACAAATGCAAAAATGCAATAAAGGTAGATAAAAAACAAAACTGAAATTGTCCTATTGTGAAACCACCTCTCTTCTGGGAATCAAGCTGGGGAGAGTGATTCTCAAACAACGTGTTTCTACATACAGGACAGAGGTTTGCAGAGGGGTAGAGCGTGGTTGACGGTTGAGCTGACACAGAGGAAGGGCCGGGGAATGGCTTTGTAAGTTGTCACAGCAGCTGCTTATAGCTCAGAAAGTAGGTGCTGGGGATAAAATGTAGGTGCCACTGTTATTCTGGAATCATTTTTTAAAATATACTTTACTTTTAAACTTATTAGGGTGGCACTGGTTAGTAAGATTATATTGGTGTCAAGTGCACATTCCTATGATAACCTGGTCTGTATGTTGCATTATGTGCCCGCCCCCCAAAGTCATATCTTCTTCCATCGCCATATATTGAGCCCCTTGACCTTTTACTACCCTCCATTCCCCCTTCCCTCTGGTAACCACCGAACTGTTGTCTGCTCTGAGTTTTTGTTTGTTTTTCTTGTTTGTTCACTGATTGCTTTCCATTTATATCCCATGTATGATTGAAATCATACAGTTCTTAACTTTGGACTATTTCACTTAACATGATGTTCTGAATCCATGTTTCATGATCCAAGGGCATGTTTCTTCCTACCCTTTCACTTGTACTTGAAACATCTTTTCGGTTTGGTACGTTCAAAGGCGGGAAAACTAAATGACACTCAGATCTTTAACTGCTTAATCACTGTCACCAGCAAAACCAGCCAACTCCTGGTAGGACTCCCTCTCCGTTCGTCATCCGACATTCACCCCAAAGATTTCCAGTGATGTTTCATTTCAAAGTTCAGAACAGGGAGTGGGCGCAGAGGTGGACTGCAGCCAGACGATGCCTGTCAGCCAACCTCTGCCCCGAAAGGCAGCAGTGGCTCAGCAGGGGGAGGGGCGCGCTGGAAAGCTTAGCCCAAGCATCAGACGCAAAAAGTGAGCGACATACGTAACTGCTTTTCCCAAGAATATCAAACGTCATAGAAATGGGAGGGGAAAATATAACACTTTTTTTTTCATGAATGTCTATTTGAGATCCGGTATGATTTTCATAATCATATATTCTGACTTGTGAGAAAGACATCTCAGAGTTGTCTCCAGTAAAAAAAGAAAAATGACACTTTTCTAGAGCTATGTTCCCAGAATAGCAGACATCCGGCTTTCAGAACAACTGAGTCGAACATTTGGTGGTGACCTGCCATGTGCAAGGTACTTATTCTACACACCCCTGAAGGAGACACTCATGTTTAAGGTAAATCCTCTGGTAGCCATGAAAAGCAGTGAGTTCTGCTGTCCAGAGCTATTAGGAGTCTGAAAGCTTGGGTCCTGGCCTTGACCTTGCCATCCTTTGTCAACTGCTGCATTGAAGGGGCTTAGTGTTTCCTGCAGGAACAGGAAACTGGGGGCTCTTACTGTGCCCTGAGCACTCTGGAGAGCTGGCCAACACATTCATTTTTAAAATGCTTCTAAATGTAAACTTGGAGAAAGTACCACGTACACTATTTGCATTCTTCATAAAATCACAGGAATGAATAGCATCCCAGATAACAGCTTGGTCTTGATGAAATCATCACTGTTCAGGCTGGAAGGGACATCAGAGCTCCTTTGGTGGGTAAAGATGTAGGTCCTAAGTGTGTTTCCTAAAGTTGCATGGTCGGTGGCAAAACCAGAGAGGACCATGAGGGTCTTTTCTGCTTTTTCCAAAACTGTACCCCTAAACTGGTGTTGCTCTCACAGAGCTGAGATTCAAGTGGTGTTTCTGAAAAGAAGACCCTTGAGGTAGATAAGCAACGCCCGGGGCCAAGCAAACACACACATCTTCATAGACAGCAGGCACATCCTTCCCAAAGGCCTCAGTTCGTGCAAGGACCGCCGGCCCTGAGGAAGGGGAAGCTGGACACCCAGAGGTTTGAACATGTAAATCTCTGAAACAGTTGACAGCTAATTCAAACAGATATTTTAAAAACATAGTATGGGGCGCACACCTGCGCACGTGTACATCAGCAACAGTGAACGTTAAATAATTGGGGAATCTGAGGGCCTGGCGGGACCGCAGGATGTCGCTGATGGTCGGAAGCCGTCGAAGAGGCTCATGGCTGCAGGGACTTTGTAGAGGCAGGCAGGATTCGCCGTCCCAGCATTGCCTTTCATGCACACAGGAGCCCCGCTGGGGCACAGGAAGGCTTTAGCCTTCACTCTTCTCCTCGCCATCGCTGACGGTGGCGGGGAGTGGGGTAGGGGGCGGGGGTCTGCGGTGTCGGGGCAGGCGGGGGCATCTCACTGGTGCCTTTTGTGTCCACTCGAGATGTCTGGTAGGTGACATGTCTCCACAAACGCTGATGCGCCTGCCCACCTCAGGTCCTCTGCTGGGCTTGAATTGGCGAAAGGACACAGATATACAATACACTTTGGGGACAAAAGACATTTGTAATGACCCAGTATCTGGACCCTCTGCCCAAAAAGGCAGGATCAGGTGGCTAGATCAAGGGTCAGCAACCTTTGTCTGTAAAGGGCCAGACAATAAATACCGTAGGCTTTTCCGGCCACAGAGGGTCTCTGTCACGTATTCTTCTTCAAAAAACAAACTTTAAAAATGCAAAAACCATTCCTAGCTGTGGGCCATACAAGCCAGGCCAAGGCTAGACTGGACCTGCAGCCTGGTGTTTGCTGACTCTGGCTGACGAGTCTTATGGGAAGAGCGAGACTTCAGGACCAAACTGCAGACCCTCAGCTGAGGCCTGGAGTCAACTTCTCAGGTTGTTTGTTTGTTTGTTTGTTTGTTTAAAGACCGTATAATGGATGGTCCTGACTGGGCTGCCTTGGGAATGAATGGGGCGCTATGAATTACCCTGGAGCACTCGAGTAAACCAGGAGCCACCAGGAGCCACCGGGCAAACCGTCCAGGGTGAGCCCTGGCTGCGTTCACCTCCCCTGGGCCTTGGGGTCTTTCTCCTTAGACCTCTGGGGGGCTCAGAAAGCCAGGCCAGCCATGGGCTAGAATCAGCTCTCACTGGATGGTGCCTTTTTTTGGATGGGTTATAACAGAGCGATAATTTTGTCTGTGGTTTATTTGTTTTTGTTGGTTAGCTTTTCTGTTTCCTAATTGTAGTGCTGATGGCCAAAAGCCCTCTGGGGACTCCAGTCAATTCACTCTTAAGGGTAAAAGTTTAGACGGAAAGGAGTTATTATTGGTCTGGGCTTATGTACTCCTACCTCTCCCCCTCCCCCCGCCCCTGCCACCCTTGTCCCCAGCAAAGAGGGCATGGCAAAACTCCCTGAGAAGCTGTTCGCTGTAGGCACAGACACAGGCTGACTTGAGCATGATTCCAGACCCCAGGAACCAGAAAGCAACACTGAAGCGCGCCCAGGAATTTTGCCCAGTACAGGGTCTCAGCCCATCTTTCCCTGGCCCAGCAAGCTCAGGACACCGTAAGCACCACGGGAGGCCAAGGAGGTCCCTTCCTGAGGGCCATCCTTGCGATGCGGACACACACATTCTTCCCTTTCAGTTTTGTCACCTCCTCCTGCTGGCATTTACCATTGCCCAGTGCTGGGGGAGGGACCGTCATGTGGATGACGTGGGTACTCGGAAGGGTTTTTATGAAGCCCCATTTATCCAAGGGGAACTCACCACCACCAAAGGGGAGTTAAGCTTTCCGGAGTTCACCCCTCTTTCGGAGAAAGTGGGAACCACACACATCACTGCCTGCGCTGCTAAACTTGGGGAGAAAGACACATTAGCCACTGCTTCTCCTGGGCGCACTCCCAGGGCCACCTAGGTCATTGTCCCTCGGCGGACATCTGTGTCCCATGGGAAGGTGGATTAGCCAGGTGCCGTTTCACTTCTCTTAGTACCATATCATTTTATTAAAAATTTTTTCATTATTATTCGCCATAATCAGTTATCTGTTGAAACGACACTGGATATTTTCCTAAATATTTTCCTAAATTCTTTTCGCACACGGCTTTGCCCATCTGCTTTGGCAATAAGCAGATGATTTGAATTCTGCAGCCTCCAGCTGCTTTTCTCATCAATTGGTCAATCACCTTCCCCCTCGGAGCCTCATGCCTTATAGTGTTCATGTATTACTGCATGCACACGTACGCGCGCAAACTCTGAAAAGGAAAATTATTTTCTCTGCAAAAATCCCTCTCCCGCTGGTTCGTTTTTCTGCTTTGAAACGGGAAGTTTCAGACCCGGAGCTTCTGTAAGTGAGGGCCTCCTGCCCTCCCCGGGGCAGAGGGCAGCGCTGAAAGAGAGCACTCTGTGGCCGGGGCGGGAGCAGCCCAGGGAGCAGCCCAAGGCACTGGTTCTTCTGCCCTGCACAGCAAGGCTCGCTCCCTATCTGCTCGGGCTCCCCACTGTCTTCCCTAGGCGGGCACCCAGGGATACGTGGTCTTCAATGCAACTGCAGCGTCTTGGGCCAGCGGACACAGACAAGAGCAGCTGGTGGCTTTCAAAATGGCCTATGAAGCATTGGAATCTGGCTTTAAACCAAATCTTACATAAAGCCAATTTTCAAAAGCGATAGAACAGGAGCTGCCCAAGGCGGAAACTGCAAGCCGGAGGGAAGCACAGCCATCCTCCCTCCCCAGATCCCTGGCATGCTTCCTAAGAGCCCTGGGCTCCAGAAATCTGGGTGAGAACCTTTTCCTTAGAGCTCAGTTCACGGCTCCTGCTTCCCATGCTTGTGAGTGTAGTTCAAGGACATCCTGTAAAATAAAACAAAAGCCGGCTAACAAACAAAACCCCTGCAAGAGGAAAACACAACCATTTAACTGCATATTACACCAAAGGAATTTGGTTATGTTTGGGTTATCATATCAAGAATAATTATCATCTCCTCTCACAAACAAATCATCAGCTTCTTCACACAGAACCACATTTGAATTGCTTATTTTCATACATATGTATCTTGCATTTTTATACAAAAATTAAACTCCTTGACAAGGCAACTTCTATCCCATACTAACAATGATATATTAAAC